TTTTCTTGATATTTATACCTTAGTTATTTATTAATAATAATGTCTACGGCTGACATTAATTTACTCATATAGCATGTGTTTATATAATATTGAAGTACYAAGAAGTATCAAAGGTGTAGGTACTCTTAAAATATTTTGGATTTCAATGTGTTAAAAAAAATGTATCTTTTTTTATCTAGATAATAATGTATTTATCTTTCATCTTTATCTAGATAAATTTGAATTGTGTTATCTTTTATCTTTATYTAGATACATTTTTGTCCTGTTATCTTTATCTTTATCTAGATAATAAAGTATTTATCTAATCCCAACACTGTCTACAAGTAACAATAATACTAAATTCTTTATAATTTACGTACAATCAGTTTTAGATACTGAGTGACGCAATGAATGTTTTATCGATTTTAAAATGATGTATGTTTATTCAATTTTTTTTTTTTGTGTTTCTGTTTGCCTTCAATATAATTAAACGAAATAATTGTTCGATGTTCAAAACTGAACAATATATAGAATAGACTCGGTCAGGTGATTAGGTGTTTGTATCCCAACGGGCAACGATATGAATCATTGAACTCAATAAAAGTTGTACCGTCTGATAGAATATTAACAACGTGTTACGTGTTACGCAATCTTTGTTACTAAATTGTACAAATTGACAATGTACACAGTGTCTATACCATGATTTTAAACATCAGTACATGAGTTGCATTTCCGATGGGAAAATAAATCTAGTTAGTGCGTTGACGTGGTCTTGAAATGAATATCACAGCGCCATCTAGGGTTTTAGTACACATTCTTTGTCTGATTATCCCTAAACTTAGAACAATCGTTGTCCATTCTCCAGTATATCGTCTACAGACCAAATGATTTATATATATATATGACTTGCCAGTCACTAGACCTACGGAGGTCTGTCGTGTGACAAACTTCCATAGAAGCCGTATGGCGTCCGGAAAAATGCTTCAACATGTGAATTATCATACACGGGTAAGTTTCTGTTTCTCTGTCAAGTTTGTCCACGAATGCTGAAGAGCGCTAGACCTCCACAATATTTTTTTTCACTTAATTAAAATATAAAATAAAATAATAATAGAATATAAAAATATTTTTTTCACCTTTGTTTTCATTCGTGTTAGGTATATCGAAACGCGTTTCATTGTTGGGGAAAAAAAATGTAATACTTTGAAAAATATAAAAATGAAACAAACCGTACAACTCGTGTTATTACAGTCTGTTATTTTAAGTAAATTAAAATTTGTTTCTTTTTTAGATTTTGAACGAAGCGATGAATGTATTAATTTTACAATGTGTGTAAATATTTATTTCTTTTTTGTGTTAGTGTACATTTTTTTTTTATATAGGTACAACTGTTTAAAGTTCAAATCTTAACAAAATGTATTTACAAATTATTTAGTTAAAATATCTAAGACTAATAAATCGTCTATGTTCAGAATCGTATTTCGTATACAATGATATGATTGTTATGAACATCACCGCGTATCATTGGCGGCTGGCCGGGTGAGGCAAGTTGTTAGAATGGTGAGGCAAAAATTGTTACGTTCCAGTTATTACTATATTGAAATATTAATATTATGTGGTGGGGGAGAGTAGGAAATATACGGTAGAATGAGGCTGATATAAATTAGCCTCAATTACGTCAGTAGTATTAATCATTCTGTGCAATCTAAACGACAAAACTGCACATAGATAATATTATAATAGAAATAGGAATCGATAATATGTCCTTATGTTCCATTAGTCATTAGGCAGTAGGGCTCGGATGTTTATGAAATTGCATATTTTTTTCTATTTATCTAATTTATTGCTAACCTGGATAATATGACTCATTACATACCCTACTATTTTCATAGATAAAGTAAACGTTTATCACTTATCAGTCAATATTAATTAATAATTAATCAATACAAGTCTTACAATTTTAATCTATAATATTAGGATTTACACCATTATACTACGAGTATTATAGTTGGAATCGTTATACGTTATTCGCTAAATTCGTTTTTATAATGTAGTTTTTAATAGGTATATCTAATTAAAGGCCATATCGAAACATTGAATATGTTCCCGATCAACGATGTGGTTATGTCCTTAATTGAAACTCCATTTTCCCGTAGAAGTGAAATTAAAAAAAAAAATTTTGTTTGCTGGTCGTTCTACAGATATATTAGATACAATTTGTATACCCATTCAGAAAACTAAAACTAAAGTAAGTTATCGGTCCTCTAATACATGTTGGTACGATACCCAAAAGTGGCTGTGTGGTAGTTTTTAAAAACAACGACTGTCTTGTTGGCATTGCATTTTACTAGGTAAACTAGGTAACTGATGGCTATTATGATTTTAAAATTCTGGCCAGAAGTGTTAAAATGCATGAAGCATCGAAAGATCATATACATAATTTTATGGGATTAGTTCGTTTAGAAAAAAATAAAAGTACTATTGCTGATGCGTTAAATGATGGGGCTCGTTTGAACAAAACTATTTATAATTAAAATGTTAGAAAGAATAGATTAATTTTGTTGCAATTAATTGGGGTAACATTACTGTTGGGGAAACAAGAGTTGGCATTTACCTAGAGGCCATGATGAGAGATCTTCTTCCTAAACCAAGGTAACTCCGTGAAGTGTTTAATTTACTTACTAAAATGAATGATGAATTACTATCAAATTACAATAAAATTAGTAATGTATTCACTGGACAATCAAAAACAATCCAAAATGAAATTATTTATTTTGTGTATGAGTACCTATGTGCTAGATGTAATTAAATCAGAAATTAATAATGTTTTCTTTTTTTTATTATATCAGATAATACTACTGACGTTGTTGAAAAGTCACAGTGTGCTAACTATTAGGTATGTTAAAAAACTGGTAAATTAAAAGAAAGATTTTGAGGCTTCCATGATATAAGCAGTAGTAAGAATGCTAAAGCTCTTTTTAGTTTAATTACAACAGTACTAGAACCTTTTAATTTTAAAACAAAGTTAATAGCGCAGTGTTATGATGGAGCAAGTGTCATGACTGGGCATGTTAATGAACTTCAACAACAAATTAGAATTGAAGCACCTCATGCTCTTTTTACTCACTGTTGTGCTCATAGGCTGAACCTTGTTCTACAGCAAGGTAGTTGTTGCATACAACAATCAAGAATATTTTTTCCACCTTTTAGGAATATATTGTTTTTTTTTTTTTAAGTCTCCTAAACGTACATTTGTTTTGGATACTATTATTGGTAAACACTAAACATATTCCTGTTGCTAATGAAACTCGTTGGTGTACTCATTCAAAAATGTTAAACTTTGTTGCTTTGAATTTAAATAAGTTAATTGAAGTAATGCAAAATATTATGGATAATCCTGAGTCAGGTATTGAATCCATAAATGGTACAAAAGGTTTTATAAATAGCTTGAAAAAATTTGATTTTGTTTTTTTTATGGTTGTATTTAAAGAAATATTTAATATCACTGATACTTTGTATGCAATTTTACAAGTCAAGCACTTGGATGTAGTATATTGTATAGATCTAGTTAATACATCTATAAATAGAAATAAACTTTTAAGAACTTTTGAAAGTGCAACATTTTTGTTTAATGAATCTAAAAAAATTAGTACTCCAAAACAGCCTCGGGGAGTAGTTGAAGGGGATCTTTTAAATAAATATAGTGTGTTGCAATATGAAATACTGGATAATATAATCACTCAACTCACTGAACGTTTTCAAGATTAAGGTAAACTMAAATTTGTAACATTAGTCGATTCTTCAAAATTTAAATTCTATCAAACTGCCTTTCTTAATGAAGGACTTGAATGTTTATCTTCCATTTATAAAGATGTATTTGATTTAACAATATTATGAATTGTCAGTTGTTTATTTTGATTTCCAATTTCACAACCAACATATTCACACAAATTGTAAAATTTCTAAAACAATTTCATGATTCTGAATTGTTAATGGAAGTATATAAACTATTTTGATGATTTTTGACCATACCTTCTACAAGTGTATCAGTAGAAAGAAATTTTTCTTGTCTTAAACGCATAAAAACATACCTACTTAAGAAATTCTATGACGGAAGAATGATTGCCTTCATTGGCAACAACAAGTATAGAAAAGGAATTAATTAACTCTTTGGCAGATAATGATGGACAGTTTTATGAAAAAATTATTGATAGATTTTCAGTGTTCAAAGATAGAAGAATAGATTCAATTTATAAAAAGTAAATTAGTAAACAGTTATATGTTTTTGTATTATTAATAAAAAAAATTAAGCCCTCTTATATGGTAGGTATTTAATTTTTGTTAGTTTATTTTTGTAATTTGTTAAAAATTATAATTTGTGATAAATGTTATACTATTTTTATAGAAAATAGTTAAACAAAAAGTTAAGAAATGATTTTATAAACTATAAAGATTAAATTTTTTTATATTTATTATTTTATTATTTTAATTATAATTTGTGATAAATAAAGTTTTATTCCTTACTACTATTTTTATAGTAAATAGTTAAACATATAAGTTAATGTATAAGTCAATGAAACTTATGGTGGGCTTTGTGAGTTTATAGCAGCGGGATGAATATTTCCATTTAATTTTAAAGTTTATCGAAATGGTATCTTATACATGCAGTCCGGATCTAATGATTGTCCAGTAAAGCTTTCACGATTTTGACAAGATTTGTCCAATGGACATTTTGATGCTTATCTTCCTACTGTAACAGAAAACAATACTCAGAGTCGTATAGAGGAACTGGTCGATGAACGCGAACATTCACCTATTGCATCTTCAGTACACAGTAACATTTCTGCAAACATTTCACTATTCAAACCAAGTGAAACAGATCAATCTATTTCGTCCTCATTAATTAAAAAGAGAAAACGAAGGGCTAGATTTACTTATTACACAAGAAAAAAACAAATAAAAAACACAAAAAAAATATAGACAGAATCAAAATGAATCTAGGTATAAGGAAAATACTACTATGCGTCTATGGAAAAGCAAGGTGCATTCAGGTATGTCATATGATCCAGATATTGCATATAGAACTGACACCTGTGTAGCTTTGGGTTCTATGACCTATAAGTGTCAGTGGTGCAACGCTTTGAAGTGGAAAGATGAGACACTTGNTATGTGTTGTAGCGCCGGAAAAGTACAACTTGAGAGGTTAAAACAACTACCTGAACCTCTCTACAGTTTGGTTAACGCTCTGCACCCAGATCATGTGCRRTTYATGAACAATATTCGAAAATATAACGCCTGTTTTCAGATGACGTMATTTGGTGGTAAACAGGTAACAGCAGAYGGTTTCTTACCGACTTTTAAAGTTAAAGGACAGGTCTACCATTTAATTGGAAGTATATTACCTGAACCCGGACAGGGCGCACAGTACCTTCAAATCTATTTTGTCGGTGAAAACGAACGAGAAATAAATATTCGGTGTTCTAAATATTCTAACTTAAAACCCAATTTAATCAAACAACTGCAGGATATGCTACATCAAGTGAACCCACATATAAAATATCTGAAAAGTGCCATCGATAAAATACCTCCTTCAGAGTCATTTAAAGTTGTAATACATGCAGATAAAAAACCATCAGAAGAACATAGAGGCTGGTATAATGCACCAACGGCAAATGAAGTTGCTTTAGTGTTAGTAGATCAGCATTTTGATCGAAGAGACATCATCCTCGAAAACCGAAGTAACTCACTTCATCGTATCAGTGAGATACATCGAGCATACGACGCACTGCAGTATCCTTTAATGTTTTGTTGGGSGGATGATGGGTATGCAATCAATATACCACAACGCGATCCAAAAACCAAGTTACCGCTTAAAAAAATTGTGTCTGCATCAAGTTTTTACTCATATAGAATAATGGCCAGAGAAAGGGAAGACACCTATTTAGTTAATTATCGTTCTCTTTTCAGTCAATATTTGGTAGATGAATACGCCAAAATTGAAACTGAAAGACTAAATTACATCAAAAACAACCAAGCCAAATTGCGTGCAGATAGTTATATTCATTTAAAAGATGCGATTGGACGACGAGACATAGAAGCTWATCACTTAKGCCAAATGGTTATASTCCCGTCAACTTTTACTGGTGGGCTAAGGTACATGCACGAAAGAACACAAGRTGCTATGACCTACGTTAGACATTACGGTYGTCCTGACCTTTTTATTACTTTTACATGTAATCCTCGCTGGGACGAGATAAAAGAGCTCTTACTTCCCGGTCAAAGATCATATGATCGACATGATATAATTGCAAGAGTGTTTCGGTTAAAAGTCAAAAAGACCATGAACTTATTGACAAAAGGTAAAATATTTGGAGAAGTGAGATGCTATATGTATTCAACAGAATGGCAAAAGAGAGGTCTACCACATATTCATATTCTTTTATGGCTTCAGCTTCACATTACTCCGGATCAAATCGACAATGTTATTTGTGCTGAAATACCCGATCCCATACGTGACCCTCAGCTTAAATTGTTTAATGTAATATGTGGAATATTGTAGTTCGGTGAAGTCCATAAAATATGTGTGCAAATACGTAAATAAGGGCTCTGACCAGGCTTCATTTGCCTTAGAAAATGAGAAAGATAAAATAAAAACTTACGAAAGTGGACGATATAAAAGTTCATCAGAAGCCGTGTGGCGAATCCTTGAATTTCCAATTCACGAGCGTTTCCCTACTGTTGTTCACCTTGTTGTCCATTTAGAAAATGGACAAAGGGTTTACCTTAATGAACAAAACCTACACGGCAGAGTGAATAGTACTCCTACAACTACACTTCTCTCATTTTTTGATTTGTGTAAAGTGGATGACTGCAAAAAATTTGCTTTACCCAGAAGTACCTGCATATTACTTTTGGGACAAAAAAAAGTTCCRAAGAAGGAAGAGAGGAGTAAACGTTGTTGGCTGGCCAGATATCAAAAGAGAGCACGCTCTGGGTAGAGTTTATACGGTTCATCGGAAYAAAACAGAATGTTATCACCTTCGTATGCTTCTCCATGAAATCCGGGGCCCGATTTCGTTTGAAGCGTTGAAAACTGTAGATCAGCGGTTCCCAAACTTTTTCCCATCGCGGCACATTATTATTAGTTATTATAAGTCACGGCACACTTTGGATAAATATTATCTATATAGTATAGATATTAAAAATATTAATATAAATATTAAAAATAAGAAACGTGAACGACTTTTATCAGTTGAACAAGAAATGCGGGTGTGTTTATCGTCGATTCCACCTAGAATTGAACTATTATGCAAACAACATCAAGCACACGTTTCACACTAAAATTTACAATTATATCTTTTTTTTGTAATTTTAAAGTTAATTTTTTATTAATTATTTTTATTTGTATTATATATTTTAATATTTTGAAAAAAATCATTTTATGTCTTTTTATAAAAAAAAGTTCAAGTTGTCGCGGCACACGTTTCAAATTTCACGGCACACTAGTGTGCCGTGGCACACCTTTTGGGAATCACTGCTGTAGATGATCAAGTACATCCCACTTTTAAATCCACGTGTAAGGCTCTAGGGTTACTTGAAGATGATGAACATATTGAAAAACTATTAGTAAAACACACTAATAGATCAGTGAAGAACATTGTCTACAAAGAAGTTTTGTAGATAACATATTGAAAAACTATTAATAAAACATTTATTTTGAACCTTTAGTGCTCAAATTTATCGTGAACAAAGCTTCTGCTGCCAAAACCTATAGCTTATAGAATAGGTTATGATAAGAATCATTATCTTAAAAACTAAATTAATATGTATAAAATATTATTTCAAAAATCTTAAATTTCAATAGATTTAACAAAATTTAATCTTGGCAGGTTACATACATTTATATACTTAAACCCGGCAACGACGGGTAATTCAGCTAGTCTAATAATAATACTGTTGAACGACGTTTTTTAAGTAGCAGTGTTTAAACCATTTTTCTTTATAACCACTTCACTCATTTTATTATGGACATTATTTAAAGTATCTAGTTCTTTTGACAATTCTGGATGTTGTTTTTCGTCAATGATGTAAGTTAAATCAATCATTTTCTTAAGCAATTCTCGACATTGAGCTGGTATATTTGAAATATTTTCATTGGTACTGGAACTTGGATTAACAGAGGTAATGGCATTTTCATTGTTTTCATTAAAAGCTGTAATACTGTTTTGAATTAATTAAATTTCATGATCTGTATTATTAGTAATTGAATACCGAGGATCAGATGATATGAAAACATTATTTTTAAAGATTTATGGTAAATCTTCAAACGAACATCCTGGTACATAAATAAATAATGCACGTACATGTTTACATGGCCAATGATATTTTTTTAAATCTAAACATGTACAATGGGGTAATTGAATATATACTATATATAAGGAAGAGTCACCTTCACTTTTTACTTCGAACAATAATTTATCTATCTCTAATTTTTTAATTTTCTTTTCATTATAGATGTTCTGAGCTGTAGCATATCGAGAATATACATGTTTAACAAATGTTTCTGGTCGTCCATGTAAAAATGAAGGTAGTTCTTTTGATATTTGTTTATAATATGATGAAAGTTTTTAATTTTTTATTTCCTAAAACTTTGTGGTAAAAACTGTTCAATTATATTTTATAATATACTATTTAAGGACATGTCACTCTGTGACCTTTTCTTCTAGTACAGAGGAAACCCCAAGAAGTGCTGGGCGTTTCCGCCGTATCCTCTGCATAACCAGATACTGATAGATGAATGTAGAAGTTTGACGAAAAATAGTTTGTGTGGCTCATGCGGGAAGGAAATTTCAGTCTTAGGAATACGTCACTGTGAATTAATTACCTCACTTTCCACCCTTACTTGTTGCCACCAAATATATTATTGTAATAGGTTATTAAAAAATCATTAAAAAAAAAAATGATTTTATGTGACTTTTTTTATCTATGTCGCACGTGAGTCTGAGAGAAAATAAATATTACGCAATGCTGACATCCTATTGATAATGTGTGTTTGTTTAATTTTGATGACTTCTTTAACGATGTATAAGCACAGAATAGATAAAATCAGAAAGGACACTCGATGCCAAGAACGTTTTGCGTGGAGTGGGGACGGAGGCCGCCACCTTCTTATTTATGCTGTTTTGTTAGGTTATGAAATTAAGTTGTTATGAACCATAGACATATAAATATTTATATGTCTATGTTATGAACACTATGAGATATTGTGTAACTCGTGTATGTTTACCTTTCGCTGACTCCCTATTTTACAAATATACAATTTTACATATTATTCTTTGCTAATTCTTAAAAAAATTGTGATTTGTATTGATATTTTTGTTTTTTGTCAATTGTTTATAATAGTTGTTGTGTTTGGTCAATTTTAATTTTTACTTTTTTTCTATTTATTATTATTGTTCCAATTAATTAATTATACTAATGAAGTATTGTTTTAAAAACAAAAGTTTTTGATCACAATAAATAAACAAAATTGAAAAATAGATATACTATATTTGAATTAAATTGTATTGTAATTGAATAATATACTTACCTATAGGTACTATTTATTATTTAATTAAAAATAATCCAAAATTCCAAAAAGCATGAAGTAAGTCTATGGCCAAAARTYGGACTTCAAGAWTTTTAACTTTAACCGTATCATTTTGTGATTTTATTTTTTAGTTAGGTAATTTATTTTTCATTGTATGGACACACTGATTCATAAAYAAGAATATGGCCGCCACGTTTTTGTGTGATAAGTATGATTACTGTGTTATAATTTTTAAGTGTCCACCCCCTGGTATAAGTAGTATATGAATTATACCCTTTCCCCGGTATCAAAAGAAATGATTTATGAATTCATCAATTATAAATTAAAATGTACCTATTTATTGCTTTCAAATCTACAAAACTACATGTACCATCTAATTCGTGAAATAAGTTCTTTCACTCCTATAAAACTATCTACTGGCCTGATATTTAAGTAATTTTTTTCTGTATAACAGTAGATATTGTATAGTAGTTGCCTTTGATTCTGACTTCCTCGCTGATCTTTAAGCGTGTTACCACTGGTCATTTTATAAGAATTTATACCATCTGCAGAGCCGTGTTAAGAGGGGGTCAAAGGGGGCAATTGCCCCCGGCGCCTTAATTTTAAAAAAGTATGGTGGCGCCTTTGTTTGCGCTTAATATGCTACCTGTAGCCCCAAATAAAATGTTGCCTCGGGGTGCTAAATTACTTGACACGGCTTTGAGTTCATCTGTCTCAAATTTTTAATAAGAGTTACCTTACTACGAGGAGAATCCTCCATTTTTTTTTAACTAGCTTCATTTAATTTTAAGCTAATATTATTATATACAAATTTAGGTGGGTAGGTATCTAATGAAGTTGAAAAAATTAAACCTTAAAAATTGTTCAATTTACCCTTATTATTCAACCATTTTCAATAGTTTTTATTTTAAAAGATGAACCCTATACTCACCTACAAATAAAACTACAAATTTCACACAAACAGTCATGTTTTATTTTAAATTAAGTACTAACTATGGAACTTTTTTGAAAAAGTACATAAAGATTCGCTCATGTTAAAATCGGTTTTTAAGAAAACACTCGTAAGAATATTGAATAGAACCAAGAAGCTAGATCTATTAATTTTATCATTTAATTAGAAGACTAGAGTAATTTAAAATCTTTATAATTAATTAAATTTGTAACCAGCGGACACAGAATGAACAAATTTCTATCCGTTTCATATACAATAAAGTACCTATATAGTATATATAAATATGAGCGTTACTAAGTATTAAATCAAAAAGTAAAATGTAATTAATTGTCGACTCGTTTTATTATTAAGACCATCTATACATTTTTTTAAATTATTTCTAAATGTATACACAATACTAATATATTTTTTTTGATAAATACATTATTCATCCAGTCACTCCTCAGTCTATAACTGATTTCCACATGCAGTTAACTGGAGATTATGCGCACTTGTCTATGATACATAATGAATTAGTTTACTGTGGCATTGTTGGTACATATCCAAACAGAAAGGGCGTACGCTGCACTTTTCAATAAGATATTGAGCATAGTGCCAGAGTGGCAACCTCAAATTATAATAGTTGACTTTGAAAGGTTAGCTATAAGCTGCTATAAGAACTATATTTCCAAATACCACTATTAGAGGTGGCTGGTTTCATTCCTCCCAAGCAGTTTATGATAACGTTGCAGCAATTAAAACTTTTACATAGTTATTTTAACCAATTAACGTATCTAAAAGAACACTAAGTGGCAACCTAAAAACAAAATATTGGAGACCATCAAAATTGGAACTGAAACAGTCATTTATATATTATATTAATGTATGAAATAATTTACTGTTATTTTAAGTTATGAATGAACATATTTTTTAATTAATAACTTTTTAATTCCATTGATAGAAAAGAAAATTATTTTTAAAGAGTTAATTTCAGAAATCAATGTTTTACAAAATAATGGAATTGATGTTCATATCGAAAATAATAATTATACTATTCATTTCTTCTTAGCATCTTGTCCTACATTCGATTCTAGGATATGCTGAAAGTTGTATGGCTAATTTTCCTTGCAGATTCTGTAAATGTCGTAAACACGAATGCAACTACTCTGTTAAGCAAGATAACAATAAATTAAGAAACAAAGAAAATTATTCTCGAGATTTATCTATTGATAATTTGTCATTGACAGGTATTCATGAGGCATGTGTTTGGAATGAAATTGATAGTTTTCATGCAACTGATAATTATGCTGTTGGCATAATGCACGATATACTAGAAGGGGTGTGTTCATATGATATTTCTGAAATATTGTTTGAGTTTATTATAAATTTAATGTATTTTTCGCTGAGTACGTTAAATAGTCGAATTCAGTATTTTGACTATGGTCCAATTGAAGGACAAAACAGACCACAATATATAT